ACGTATGAGATATTTAATGTTGATGAGTTGTCAATATATATATATATAATTATAACTCTTTGATGTTGAAATGCTTTAAAAGACCAAAAAAATAGAGATAAAAAAGATAATAAACTTTTTTTTTTTGGATTACAATTAAAAAAAAAAAGTAGTATTCGAGTTGGATGAATGAATTGAAAAAATACATCTTATTATAAAATATAAAAATTTTAAAATATGAAATCAAGTGTCATAATAAATTTTTAATAACACTTATAAAATAATTTAACATTACATGATTTAGTAGTTATAACTTTTATGAAATGTGATACGAAAATTTTTACATCTAGACACTATTTCCTCCATCCCCACAATTCCCCTTAGCTCACAAAAAAAAAAAAAATTGCACTTATAGAATGTAAGGGGGCAAAAGAAGAGAGATGTAAGAAGAAAACGTGGATGATAAGGGAGATATAAAAAGGATCAAAATAAGAGAAAAATAGAAAGTAAAAGTCAATGAGGAATGACGAAGAGAGATAGAAAAGGAAAAGGAGGTAGGACTCAAACTTTTTTTTTTTTAGATTAGACTTTTTGATGATTTTTTGGCTAATTATGTAATGTTATTCAATTCTTGTCAGTTAGAGTAGTTTAAACTCCACCTTCCCAGAAAGTCAAAGATAAAATAGAGGGGAGACGGAGAAATCCAGGCCCTTTGGGCCTTTCAAATTAATGATGAAGGCACGCGCACATTTTACAGATTAATAATAGACTGATTAATAATCAAAGAAAGAGATGGCCTTCGTCACCACCATCATCTTCAAAATCTATTCCGCCACCTTCCCCATGGGGAACCTGGTCAGAGATATACCAATTACCAACTCAAACACAAGGTTTCAAACTTTTTTACATTTTCGTGTTGCAGAAATTATCTTCTGTCTGTCTGTCTCTACAATTCTATTCTATCTCTCTGCAAAGTAATGGTTTACTATTTTCTTTGTCTTCCCAACCTATTTTCTTTTTAAATTCGTTCGGTTTTATTGTCTCTTTAGCTGTCTCACACAGCAATTTTGGAAGTATTTCACTTTTCTGTTGATAATGCATGCAAATTAAATTAAAGCTCCTTCCTTTTTTGATGAAAGGTGAAATTTTTATTTCTTTGGTGTGCTTGTGCAGGGAGAGTTTTTGGATGCTTGAAAGCTTCCCACTTGTGTGTGATCAGAGATGCTTCAGAACTCTGCTGAATTCCGCAATCTTGGGATGTCTAAATCCAAAGTCTGGACCTTGGGAGCTGTCTTTGTCGGCTGCTTCTTTCTGTCTTCACTGCTTGTTGGAGCACAAAATAATTCCATCCTTCAGCCTGATGAAGGTAGCTTTTCTGGTTGAATATGGTAGAAAATGATTTTACTGGAGCATCTGCAGCTTGCTACAGCAGTTTTTTTTTTTTTCTTCAGAGAATGCTTGGAGTTTACATTGTTCCTTGAGAACAGGACTGTGTTTAAGCATATGTGTCAATATCAAGCCTAGATTTCTTAGTCTATTGAACGCTGTTTTATAGCTTTGGCTCAGCTTTAGACTCCTCAATAGGAGTCATGTGGTGTAGAAACATGATTAACTCCGAATTCTTTCGTTGGATCCTTAATTAGTGTTGATTTGGATTGCATAAATTTGCAGTGAGTGCATTGCGAACTATCAAGAGAAGTTTGATTGATCCCAATAAAAATTTGAGTAATTGGAATCGGGGAGATCCATGCACATCAAATTGGACTGGAGTTTGTTGCTTCAATACAACCCGGGAAGATGGCTATCTACATGTCCGAGAATTGTAAGTTTTGAGTGGTAAAATTGTACTAATATGAACTTAAATTCCATGAGATAAACCCAGTTTTA